AACATTGTATTGACGTTATAGATAATATATATTATACAATACATAAATAATATGAATATAATAAATAATATAACAAATATAATATAACACACATAAATATAATGATATAATATAAAAACAAATGATAATAAATATAACAATATATACAAATAAATACAATATATATAAATAACATTATGTTAACCTTATAAATATTTTGTACCAACTTATGTGTGTACATGACGTTTTCCCCATAAGAGGCAAACTCCCTGAGGGCAGGGACTGGTTTTTGCTTGTTGTTTTTATCTTCATATTCCTAGTGCCTAACATATTGCTTGGAATGGTAGTTGGTTGAACTTCGTGCTCAAAGAGGACCAAAATGACATCACTATGTCGAGGTCAAAGTATAGTGTGTCTGACTATGGCTGATTAGATCAATATGAACTCAGAAGACTCTACCAACAGGCCGGGCATAAATAGTCCATATGAACATTTGGAGTGGAGATGTCTCTAAATTTGGGCGTCTTATTTCTTTTGAGCTACTGAAATTCCGCTTTGTTCATAGAGCAGAGTGCCTTCTTTGATGAGGACACACCACGCTGGGTGGTTCTGTGCCAGTGTCTCCCATGTCTCATCATCAATTCCAAAATTCCTCAGAGACCTGTAGAGTGTCCTTGTATCACTTCATTCGACTTCTATGCGAGTGCTTGCCTCGTGTGAGTTTTCTGTAGTCTTTTAAGCAAATGTACTTTTGGCATTGAACACTGCGACCAGCCTATTGGAGGTGCACTCTGTGCAGTAGAGTTGGAATACTTGGCAAGACCTCAGTGTCTGGTCCCTTATCTTGCCAGATTTTCAGCATCTTCCTAAGACAATTCAAATGGAAGTGATAGAGCTTCCTGGCACTGGTATATTGCATAGGTTTAAAAGGCATAAAACAGTGAAGTCAGCACAATGGCTATGTAGACCTTCAGTTTGGTATGGAATCCAATACCTCTTCTCTCCTACTTTTTTTCTTTGGAGCCTCCCAAACACTGAGGTAGTAGTAGTAGGGGGAGGAGGAGGAGGAGGAGGAGGAGGAGGAGGAGGAGGAAGCACTTAATAAATGCTTAACTGACTTATTGATTATCTGTTCTTTCTCTGGAATGTTTATCTATTTTCACTAACTCCTTCCCTTCCACCTACAAACATGATAAGATTTTCTCTATCCTTACCTTTTCTTTTCTTACCTTAGAATTTCTCCCCTCAAATCTGTTACCCTGTGACTCCAAAAGTCAAATTACATGACATGTAATGGTGAGTTTAATATAAACAGCTAATAATGGCTGTTGGTACATGAGATAATAAGGTGATTTATTTTAACTTATATACATGCCTAATGAGAACAGGAAGGCACTTACTAGATATATGACCTTGCACAAGCAACAACCTTTTTGGGTCCCAGTTTTCTCATGGAAATGAAACTATTGTCTTTCTAGCTTAAAAATGCTTTGACACTGTATTTTTAAATAATATCTTTTTTTTCAAAAGCTCTCAGAGTATTTTCAAACACCATATGATTAATCCTCAATATGAATGTGACATAAGTGGGTGGAGATATTTCATACATTAAGTGACTAAAAGTCCCTAATGCTTGAAAATAATCATTCCAATTGGTTTAAAGCTAAACAACATAATTTAGGAACACTGACTTTTTAAGGGAACTTTTAACCTGTAAAATCTCTTCCAATTTCAAAATTTTATGATTTCACGATTAAGGACAAAAAAGGAAAGATCTCTTTCTTAGCTGATAAATTCAGTCCTACCCAGGGTTTCAGTTGGTACATACTCGACTGATTTTAGTTCTTATAATTAAAAAAAAATGGTGAGCCTATGGAATGAAGGGGTTAGAGAAATTTATCTGTCATTTACAAGTAAGTATTTCTAGACATACATATGTAGGTAATATGTACTTGTACATTCATATGAGTATATATTTTATATTTAAATATTAAATCTTTTGTTTCATATGTTCCTTTGTATGAACCTTTAAGGGCCTCTGACTATTTCAAAAGATTTTTAAAAAACTGAATAGAATAAAACAAGGTGAGATTTAATCTCATAAAGTGGTTGACAATATAATGCAATATGTTAGTTGAAAAGGAAAAACCTAGGAAGGAATCATGTTTTGTTTTGTTTTGTTTTTAAAGCAGATGTGATAGTAGATACAAAGAAAAAATTGGATGTTATTCTCTTCTCTGTTGCTGAAAAGAAACAAGACAATGTGAATTTGGATGGCTCACAGAAAAACACCATGTCATGGGGCTGCGGATTGATCGTGCTTCTCTCCACAACCCCAGAGAGACTTATTCTATAATATTGCATTCATCTGCGGGCGCCTCATTAACAGAAAAAATATAGGCAAACTGGAAGGAGTTCAGAGAGGAGCAACAAAATGATAAAAAGCGCTGGAGGGATTGACGTGTGAGAAAAGATTAAAAAAGATGAAATCTCTGTGCTTTTGCTAAGTGGTGACTAAGGAGGAACATGACAACTGTCTACAATCAAGTGAAGGTTATAAACTCCAAAGAGAGACAGTGATTACCATGAATCAAGGGAGTGCTACTTTGTAAAGAGATAAAATTAAGAACAGAAAGTTTAGGGCAAATAGCAGGTGCATTTTTGAATGTTGAGATGTATTATGTTCTTTGTGGCAGCACTTTTATCCTTTGAAATGTTTAAAATGGAACAAATTGGAAGTGCTTATAAAGTACTGAGGTATGCCTTCAACAGTATGGCTCAGAGTGGACTCAGTGACCTAAGCAGACAGATTTCTCCAGCAGTCCTCATTATTTTATAATTTGTGAGCCATGAGAGTTGTAATCAATTGCTTCTGGACATTCTTTTCTAATTCCTTTACCTTCCTTCTATCACTATATACTTCAGATACCTTGGATAATAGCTGGTCATAGGCACTAAGGTTTCAGGAGAATGCCTCTCTATGGTGTGTTACATGTACGAGGTAGGGAGGAAATAAGCATTTGTATGGCACCATGACAACCTCTCGTCTAGTATTTTATTGGGTCACACAGAGTAATATCCCTAGTCTTGTGTGGGGGATACATGATACAGAACAGACGCTGCCTTCATGGAGTTTATATTCTACTGGGAGATACATCATTTGCACAAATAAATGAGATATTTTGAAGAAGAAAGAGTATTAACCACAAGAGTGATCAGAAAAGACTTCCGGTAGAAGGTGGCACCAGAATTGAGTCTTGAAAGACATTAAATATCTTAGGAAGCAGATGTAAGGAAGTAGTGCAATCTAGGCACAGAGATGGCAAGTTGCATGCTGAGTTCAGGGAATAACAACTAGATCGATTTGACCGGAATGTAGAGTAGTACGAGAGGAGTGTAATAAGAGAAGTAATGTAAAAGAAGCCTGGAAAGGCTGAAACCAGATTTCAGAGGGCTTTAAATGCCAAACTGAGGAGTTGGTATTTCTTCCATAGGCAGTTGGGAGCCATTGAAGATTATTTAACAGGGAGAGTGACACAGACCTACGCTGAAGGATGATTATTTTTTTTTCATGGCAGATGTGTGGAAGACAGAGTGGATGAAGGAGAAAATGGAAGTAGGGAAACCAGTTAAGAGGTAGTTGCCATAATTCAGATGTAAAGTGATGAGGGTTTGAATCAGAGTGGTGGCTGTGTTACTGGAGAGAAGAGGATGAGTACTAATGATGTAGCAGAGTTGGCATTGACAAGAGTTTTACTACTGACTGGACACTAAGAGTGAGAACAGAGAATGAAGGATTGAGGATGACTCTGGATGACTCTGGATGACTGGCAAGATGGCTGTGCAATCAGAAATCAGCTGAACATTTTGTATTCTTGATCCCTTTTGGGGTCAGGTTCATTTTACACACGAACTTCTTTAATATGTTGAAGCCAAGTAGTTTACGGCATTTTTTGTGCATTTTCCTACAGATTAATTAAAAGAAACCAAATAATTTCAAAAACAAAAAAAAAAGTAACAGATTCAAGCAGATTCTCCTCAGGCACAAGGTAGATATTCCCTGTTGAAAAATGCACTACTCTGCAAACTGCAGTGGCCCTTAGTAACTAACAATACCTATGTGTGTACCCCAAAAGACTTAATAGTAACTTCCAAATGTGGAAAGCCTTTTCTGACTCCCTTTCTTGTTAGTGTGCTTTCACTCCTCACGTATGTTCTTATTTGCATATCGCATTCTTTCAGTAAAATATAAGCTCTTTGAAAGAAGAGTCTTGGTACAGTGGAAAGAACACGGGGACTTGGTGTTCACGTACCACCTCTGATGCTTATTCCCTGTGTGACCTTGGGAAAATCTCTCTACTTTCCAGGGCCTCAGTTTCCATATCTATAAAATGAAGTATTTGGATTAGATGACTTTGGAGCTCCATTCAGCTCTAAATGGATAATCCTATGACTTTTTAAAAAATGTATTTGTAGCCCCAGTGCCTTGCGCATAACAGCAATTTAATAAAAGCTTATTGAATTGGTTTAGATTGGTGCCTAACTTACAGCAGGGTGTAGCAGAGGAAGGGGATCATCTGGCCCCTATGTATGCCAAAAAGGTGCACTGATTTCATCCAAGACACGAATGAGTATAGTAAGGAACAAAACTAAACATCAACAAACATGAAAAGCTTCATCTCTAATGGAAATTGGTTCAACTGACACATTTTCAAGCTTCTGACAAAGCAGACTCAGATTTCAAAATGCCACTTTGGGGGTTCGCCCATGGATGAATATATAATTTTTTAAAGTGAGGATTAAATGTGAAACTTACCCTGGACAGAGTAACATTGATGTGATCAAATTAAAGGCCTTTGGAAAGCTGGCCAGCATAGTTTACACGCCAGTGCTTCTATATTTAGGTCTGACTCCCTTCTGCAATGTCAACTGTAACATTATCCTTGTTTTAAATCTCAGTATCTCAAATATCAGTTGCTACTAGTTGTCCAGTTCTCCCTTGGTTTATATCAGAGAGCCCAATGGAGCCTTCTGAAGAAACTGTACAGATTAACCAGGATAACTTTTTAGAAGTTCCTACTTTATCTGATTCTCTTTCTGAAGATGAAGAAATTAAAGATGCCATCAAGCCCCCCTTCTCCCCTCTCCCAAGGCGACGAGGCTCTGATTCTTCTGGATCAGATTATCCATACCTGGATACTCCTTCAGGTTCGCGAAGAGTTTCATTTGCTGATACCTTTGGATTCAATCTTGTATCTGTTAAAGAATTTGACAGTTGGGAGTTACCAGGAGCATCATCACATTTTGACTTAAGGGATGATGTTTTCCACACAGAGGAATATATTTTATCTCCACTGTTTGATTTGCCTTCCTCAAAAGAAGTGCTGATGCAGGAGTTGCAGGTTCAGAAGGCAATCCTGGAGTCGATGGAGTTCCTCACTGGGGCTACAACTATGAAGGGCATTATCCGAGTTTTGAATGTTTCTTTTGAGAAGTTAGTATATGTTAGAATGTCCTTAGATAACTGGCAGTCACATTATGACATTTTAGCCAAGTATGTCCCTAATTCTTGTGATGGGGAAACTGATCAATTCTCCTTTAAGATTTCACTGGTTCCTCCTTATCAAAAAGATGGCACTAGGATTGAATTTTGTATACGCTATGAAACTTCTATTGGCACATTTTGGTCAAACAACAATGGCGAAAACTATACGTTGGTCTGTCAAAAGAAGGAAAGGGAGGAAGAGCCTGAAAAATCATGGGAAGTAATAACTAACAGACAGCTAAGAGGCTGCTTAAAGGTAAAATCAAGGTGAGGTTACATCTTATAGTTTTTAGTCTTGAGAAGCTTGAATATTTCATGTCATACCTATTTTGCTTGTAAAAAGAAATAGTCATTGTACTTGACACTGTACTGTATGATATGTATTTAAAACCCTACTTGACTTTAATGAGATTCATTTTATTTAAACAGTCTTGTTACTTTGTATACCTCTTCTAAATCATAGGGAAAAGTATATAGGTATATGATAGAGGATGGGCAGGAAGTTGAGCATGTGCACTGTTTGTTAATTGATACAGTTTTTTGAAGTAGTCTAAAGCAAGATAGAGCAGCAGATATTTTTAATCCCTTAACATCTCACAGTGCCACCAGTGACTAATTCAATGTAGACTGGGAAATTGTAGGTGCTCCCCTCTGCTCTCTAATACAAAGCTTAACTCCTTCACATGTAAAAATGATGGATGAAGTTATTAAGTCCGTTGATTTCCAGTCAATGTGCCTGAAAGTGTACTCTGAAACTTAAATGAATGAGAAAAGACTGCTTCAAAAAGTGAATATTACTTGATTTTCTAACTGGAAAAAAATTCTATTATTACCTCCTATGATCTTATAATATAGCTTATAATACTTGAAACTGATAAATTTTCTGACTGACTTTTTTTAGTTCATTTATAAGGAACTTTTGAGTGATGTCCCTGATTAATCATATTGTGAGAGCTAAGATTACAATAATAAAATGATAAAGACACAATGAGGTGATGAGTAGAAGTATCTAAGAATTTTGACTGTGATCAAGCAAGTCATTATAGTACTTACATACTAAAATGAAATGGATTATCATGGTAATTACATCCTTAAAGAAATTGTAAACAATGAGCTATGCATGGTAAAAAAAAAAAAATTTAACAGAGACCAAGCAATTCAGATATACTGGTCTATGTTTGGGAGCTGTTAACATCTTTGGTAGACTTGAAAACCCATTTATAATTTTAATAAAGAATGTTTGGTTTTTATTACCTCCATACCACAAATGAATTAAATTCTCATGGTATCAGGCTACCAGATCATCTTTTTTAAAGGCAAGGTTAGTCTACTGCCACTCCTCCTCAGTGCCTGCTAGAAAAGCCCCCACATAAAAAATAAAACTATTGTTCCATAAATCACTGCTCTGATTGTTTTCTGGGGTTGTCCATTCTGCCAGTTCCTAATGGGGGACAGGCAGAGGGGAGAGGAGAATGCCTTCAAACCATGCTGAAAATTGTGCTATGGAAAAAAGCATTGTACTTGGTTAAAAAAAATACAGGCTCCAGTTCCAGCTCTGTTACTAACATTGTGTTAACAGTGATGAATCACAACCTCTCTGTCATCTAGTTTTCCAGTTTTTGAAGATCCATTCACATAATGAAAGTGACACACTAAAAAGCAGAAAGTGCTATATGTATATATAATTCATTGCTATTAATTTTTACAAATTAATGGTCTATTATTTTAAAATAGCTGCAACAGTGAAGTATTAGTGTTTTCTCCCTTAAGTTTGTTAGGGCTTGCACTTTGTGCTCAGCTGTGTTGAGTCTGAATATAGTTCCCTGAAATCTGCATTGTAAAGTTATCTGTAAATATAAAAGTAGAGTTGTAACATCTATGTATGCTAAGATGATTATTTGTCTATTTGCCATAAGATTTGATTACCCACCCACTTAAGAAATCTTTGTTTATGGAATTCTTAGAATATAGATAATATCATTATTAAAAATTTATAATACATATCTTCAGCATTATAATTTTGCATATATTTGAGACAATGAGATTCTCATTGATTGATATTTATTTAGCATTTCACAGCTTTCTAATTTTCAGAAAAACAGGACTTTGGAAACAGTTCTGATGGCTAAAAACAAAGTACTATTTTACCAAGTGGATTATTATGTAAGATTAAAATGTAGTTTTGAAAGTGTATGCATTATATGCTGTAACCTGGTACAGATAGAAAATTCCCTATGCTCACCAAACTTGATGCCAAAAACAAAGAAAAGCCATGTCAGATTTAGCCTATTTATATTTTTTTCAATGAAGAAAAATATATAGTAATGGTACTAATTGAAGTTTTGCCTAAGAAATGAATAAGCATGCCTAGGATAAAAATAAATGCATGCACACACATACGTACATACACATAACACACACATGAATATATACATATGCATAAACATTCAGACATATATACATATGCATTTATATATGCATGTTGAGAGAGAGAGAAAGAAAGAGAGCAAGAGAAATTTTTCAGAAGAGCCATCACTGAATTATAGCAGACACCATTCAAGTCCTAATATCACTTTAGGGAAAAACCTGAGTCCTAAACCACAAAATGGTCTGAAGGCCTGTAAAGTTTCCTAATGAGTTATAAAAATGGGGAAAAAAAGCCCTTCCCCTCAAACCCACGAATACATTTTCTGCAGTTCTATAACTTAAAAATGACCAATATAATTCAAACCACATTTTGAAAAAAGCATTTGCCTCTGGAGGAGGCTTTCTGTGCTAAGTTTCAGTCCAACATGAATTTTTACATCTGATTTATATACCACTCAAAATGGAGTGTATAAAGGAAATCCTGACAGATCCTTAGAACAGCATGTGCCATAATAGAATATTTATACAGCTTTTCCATAATATAATTTATATGCAATGGGTTTCAAATATTCTTAAAACTCACACAAGAGAGCACTATCAAATTTCAAAATGAATATTATAGTTGCTTTCCAATGCAAGGGGCTTTGTCAGGAAAAAAAAAAGTCATTTTACCTTATTAGTGTGATATCACAAAACATAATATAGTTTCCTAAAATAAGGATGAGCTTGGACTTCTTTGATCAAATGAATTATTGTTTTTGACACATGGTTGTCGTTGTACTAGTGAATGTGACTTTACTGTTGTACTATGAAAGGCAGTCTGTTATTGTAGACAGAGTGCTGGTCTAGGAGTCAGGAAGATCTGAGTTCAGGTTTTCCCTCTGTTATATGGTTTGTTTGTTTTTTTGAGGCAATCAGGGTTAAGTAACTTGCCCAGGGTCAAACAGCTAGTAAGTATTTGAGGCTGAATTTAAATTCAGATTCTCCTGACTCCAAGGTTAGTGCTCTATCCACTGTACCATCTAGCTGCCTCTCTTACACACTTTCTATGTCACTTAAACTCTTAATGCCCAAGGGAACTCTGCACAACTATATGTTACTGATGAGTTACTGATCTGTGTCTGTGGAGTTCAATTTCCGCACTGGGAATTCTCTACACTGATGAAATTATGGATCCAGACCAAAACAAATAAATGATATATTTATGTAACACCTAAAGAGATCAATTTATTGGTCACTTCCTTCTAGAGGAGAAAAAAAGCACGTGAGATTTTCTTCCTGCATACATGTATGCATGGAGGCAAATAATCGATACTCTAGTCTAGAAACAGTAGCTGAAATCAAAATGAGGGGGCCCTGCCACAGGCAGTAATATCTGTTTGGATTCTAAAAGGAATGTCAATTCTTTTTAAACCAAAGTTATTTCCTTCTCTTCCTTTCTCTCAGATTGCACCTCATGAAAGTGTCAATAATCTCTACTTGCAACTATATAGTGAACTGGGACAACACATTGAGAAGAGTCTCTGTCATTCCAGTCACTCCCCTATGCACTATATTTCTTTTTATTTTTTTTAAATTTAATTTTATTTTTAATTTATGAAATTAAACAAGCATTTCCATAACACAGTAGAAAGAAAGGATGATTGTACATGAAACTCCAAATATATTATGTACAAATGTAGATTTTCTCAGGCCAAAACTTACACATCTCCACTTTGGCATGGATGGTCTTTATTTTTTAGAGCTTATTTTATTTCTGCTGTCCATCTACTTTGGATTGACTAAAAAATGCAAAAGGACAGGAAAATGCAGTTATTAAATCCTAGGCATGCTATAGGTAATTAATCAAGGATATTTAATTGCATTGAAATTAAATTGAATGTTTTTTTGCCTTTCTTTGTATCTCCAGAACTCAGAAGAGAATCTGGCACATAGTAAGTGCTTAATAAATGCTAACTGATAACTGGCATATATGTCATGAGCCAATTGAATACCTTCATAGACAGGGCTGTGCTAAATGAACAAGTCAAACAGACTTAGATGATGCTTTCAGGAAGTAGATACAAAAATATGTTATGAATTCAGATGTAAATAAAATGTATACAAACATACATGACAATCTGGAGGAGGCAGTGTGGTACAGTGAAAATAGAATTAGCTTTGGAGTCAGAGGACCTGGGTTCAAGTCCTGTCTCTGATACTCATTCGTGTGCAAATGACTCAAACTCACCATACCTCAATTCCAGTCCATAAAATCAACAGACTGAATTAGATTATTGCTGAGGTCACTTCCAACTTTAGGTTTATGATCCTATGATCTTTAAAAACAGGTTAAGTGTAATATTACCCATATGAGGGATGAAAACACCCCAAAAGACTCTACTCTGCTTCAAATATGTCACCCTTTGCTTTCCACAATGCCTATAGTGTCTCCAATTAAAGCTAACATTCCTTTTGGGCCTTGAAGGGCTTCTCATTCTTCAAGAGCCCTCTATTAAAATGCAAATATCCCTGAGAAGAGTAACACCTGAAGCAATTATGGGTAAAGCCATAGTAAAGAATTTAATTCATTGGAGCATTTCCAAATATGGTAGATAATTGAGAACAAAGCCCATTGGAAATGAAACTTGGCTTAGTTACTTGGGGGAAATTGGAGTCACAAAAAGGCATAGAGGAAAAGAAAAAATGCCAAAGAAAACTTCACCTATTTCAAGGTTGGCCTTGCTGATTTACAATGGAAATGAAGGAAGCTATTACAGACATAAAATAAATAAATTTAGAAGAAATATGTGTGTTACATTTTCTTTTAGTCAAGGCAGGTGTCATGGAATGCATTGTTATCAGTGGATTCGGACTTGGAGGGTGATCCAGGACAAGACATCACTTCAGCTAGGTGCCAA